AAAGATTTATTTGTTCTAAGCTTCATTCTATTTTTCCCATGACACAGTGAGCATTATTGATCCAGTATGGGGGAGAGACTCCTAACAACAACAATGGAAATATATTGGTTTAATATGCCAAAAATATTACCCTTATTTTAGCTAGTGGTTGTAATGATTGAGATATGAGGTGATAATGGGCCTGCAATTTGGGAAGTAACAGTGAAACTGAAGAGTTTGAGTCAAGCTTGATAAATATTGTTGTGGAATAGTAAGTGGATCTTAATAACTGATTGAATATTGTTGGTGAAAAGAAAATCTCTCAGTAAACTAGGGATAGAGGAGAACTTTTTCAATTTAATAAAAGATGTCTTCAAAAAACTTAAAACTAATATCATAATTAACAGTGAGAAACTGGATGCTTTTCCCCCTAAGATCAGGAACAAGTCAAGGATATCCACTGTCACCAGTACTACTGAAAATTGTATTAGAAATCCTAACTAATATAATTTGACAAGAAAAGGAAACAAACTGTATACAGGTTGGGAAGGAAGAAATAAAGCCGTTTCTGCTTACAAATGCCAGAATGATTTAAGTAACAAATCCCAAAGAATCAATAAAAACCCCTAGAACTAATAACTGATTATAGTAAACCTGTAGTATGTAGGTTAATATACAAAAGTCAATTACTTTCTTATATACTGCCAATCAACAATTGGAATTTGAAATTAAAATACAACATTATATTAATACAAAAAAGAGAAATTCTTAGGTATAAATATATACAGATTCTTTTGTGGAAGACAATAAAACTCTGATGAATGAAATTAAGAAAATCTAAGTAAATGGACATTCCGTGTTCATGGATAGGAAGAAAATGTTGTTGGCAGTTTTTTCAACTTGATCTATAAATTCAAAGCAACCTTAATCAAAATTTCAGCAAGCTATTTTATGGATATTGACATGAAGTTTATATGGACAGGAAAAATATCCAGAATAGCGAGCACAGTACTGAAGAAGAACAAAGCTAGAAGACTGACACTGCCCAACTTCAAGATTTACTGTAAAGCTACAGTAATCAATACAGTGTTTTATTGGTGAAAGGATAGATAAGTCAATGGAACAGAACAGAGAGCTAAGAAATAGACATATATAAATACAGTCAACTTATTTTTTGATGAAGGAACAAAGGCAAATCAATGAAGAAAGGATAGACTTTTCAACATACAGTGCTGGAACAATTGGACTTCTATATGCAAAAATATGGAATCTAGACACAGACCTCTCTCACCTTTCACAAAATTGAAACTGCACATGAATGTATAGAAGCTTTATCCAAAATTGCCAAAGACTGGCAATTATTAATAAGCAACCAAGATATCCTCAATAGGCGAATGGATAAATCATGGGACAACTGTGCAACAGATATTATTCAGCAAAAAAAGTAATATCAAGCCATGAAAAGATATTGAGAGAATTTAAATGCATATTGCTAAGTGTAAAATACCAGTATGAAAATGTTATATATATGATTCCAATTAGCAACCTTCTTGAGAATGTAAAAATATAGACAGTAAAAGAATCCCTAGGTTGCTGGGGATTTGAGATGAGCATTAGGTGATCTTCAGGTTAGTAAAACTATTCTGTATGATACTATAATGGTGGATATAAGACAAAAATTTGTCAAAACAGATAGAATGGGACATCATTATAATGAGTGAACCTTATTATATATACACATTTAAAAATTATATTTGAAGTTGCTAAGATAGAAGATATTCAAAGTTCTTATCACAGGAAAAATTCTGTAACAGTGAATGATGATAGATATTAAGCAGACTGACTTATTGTGGTGATCATTTTGCATTATATACAAATATCAAATCATTGTGTTATACATCTGAAATTCACATAATGTTTTATGTCAGTTATAGCTCAATAAAAAAATAAAACCCCTAAAACTAAAAAGAACAATTTAAGAAGTTTGGAATTCCAGGAAGAAATACAGACTATGACAAGATAATTTAACTATGTTAATAATGTATGAAACAAACTCTATGAAGGGGATCGAGGGAAAGGTCCTGACCTAAGTATCTTTGGAAATGAATGGGGTCAGTAAAACTAAAAGCAAAAAGGAACTGCACATAAAACTGTACTCTAGTTGATAAAGTTGTTTCTCATGGGAGTATGGGTTAAAAATTATGATACTACTATGAATGTTTATTGGAATGGAACAATTATGTAAATAGGCAGCAGATAGTGGGAGCTAAATTTCTCATTGTTGGAGTGAGAGTTTACAGATATGCAGTGGGTAAAACCTAGAATAATCTGTGTGGTAATTAATCCATTAGAGTTGGAGACATCATGACCTCGTTTATCTTACTACAATGTGGATGGTTACATATACAAATATTTATATATGTGTGTATACATATGAGTTAGTATTTTACACATTTATTGTTTGTTCCATTAGATGAGATTGCCTAGAAATAACAACATCTCAGTAGCAACAAGCAGATCTAGTGCTCATTTGTTGGTTTCTAATGTCATTCTCCAGTGGAAAGAGCCAGGGCTCCTTAGAAAAATGGCTGATTCTAGGACTGGTGTAGGAAATACGCAAGATGAACCTGGAGCATTTTGTAGTACCAGAAAGTAAGGAAGTGCTCCAAAAACACACACATCACTTATTGGGGCATGTCAAAGGGACACAGGTGCTGAAGTTGGAAAAATTTGAGCAACAAAATAAAGTAGCATGAGATTATAAGCCAGGGCATTAAATAAATATTCATGAGTCCATAATGACATACATAAACAATTGAATAAATACATAAATAGAGGATAAGAGATAAATCTGTATAGAAGAATTCCAGACAAATTATGTAAAATGCTCTATCTTCTGGAAGCAAAACTCTTGTTCCTTAAGTAGGGGCTGTACATAGTGACTTCCCACTGAAGAGCACAGTGTGGAAAGGGGGCAATAATAGTGGCTTTGCAGTAGGGAAATCCTACAAACACTATCCTAGCCATATGATAAAGGTTACCATCAACAGAGATCTCATGTTGGCAGTATACACCCTTGATATGATGGGATGAAGATGACATTTTATCTTTGAAATCTTCTACCCAATATTTCATGACCTCAGTATAATTACGAGCAAGACATTAGGCATATTCCAATAATGGGGCATACTACAAAATACTTGATGAGCACTCTTCAAAACTACCAACGTCATCAAAAACAAGGAAAGGCAGAAACTGCCACAACCAAGAATAACCTAAAGAGAAATGATCAATACATGTAAGATCATATGATTAGAATCTTGGACAGAAAGTACATATTAGCTTAAAATTAAGGAGATCTCAATAATATATTACTAATTAATAATAATGTGTCAACATTCGTTCTTTAACTATAATAAATGTATCATATGTTAATGATATGAGAAAGGAGGTGTGGGTATTTGGGAACTCTATACTACCTCCTCAATTTTTCTGTAATCTAAAACTGTTCTAAAAAATAAAGTCTTTTAAAAAATAATAATAAAAGGAAACTCCAAGGCTAGCTATGTACTTGAAGAACAGAAAAGAATTGATATTCTGTTGATCATCATTAGAACACTGAAACGGGGTGCATACCTGACTGGCTACATAATGAGGTTTTTCCTTCACAGAGGTATTAGCTGGACACTTGAGAAATTTCCTGAAGACAATTTCAGATCTGTTCATATCACTCTCTGTCTCTGATTCAAACTCTTCACTGTCTCCCATGGTCTAAATTTTAGACCCTAAGATAAGGCCCAGACTCTGTATGTTGCATACAAACTGATTTGATCTTTCTGTACTCACCTTCCTCTCTGTTGTTCAGCAACATCAAGAAACTTGTTCATCCATATACACACTATGCTGCCTGTTGCCTCCAACTTTTGTTCATACTGTCTCTCTGCTTGAAATTCCCTACTTTCCACCCCAAACTCTCACTTTCTTCTCTTAAGCTTAGTTATTTAACACTCAACTTAGCTTCACCTTCTCCAAGAAGTTCTTTATGATTCTCCTGATTTTAGTGCCTTTTTTTCCTCCTTAAATCCAAGGAGACCATCTCTATCCTATTGGTCATAAATGCTATTATTATTATTTGTATTTGTGGTTCTGTCCTTTACTTGCCTATGAACAATTAAAAGCTGGAGTTTTATCCATAACAGGGACAGAAGATAGAAGTTGCTTAATTCATACTTATATTATGAAAGAGAGACAGACAACAGACACTTTGTTCTTACCTATAAGAAGCTCACATTTGAGAACAGACATCAGAACATAATTATCTTTTACAAATAATATGAGTTGCTACTGGAAATTTTAATTCATTCTCACAAAATTTATTTTCTAGAACTCATAAATCTTAAACTAGATATAAGGCCATAAAATGTGAAAAAAGTGAAATATCTAATATTGGATTATAGTTGACATTAAAAGAGAGAGGTGATTTTGATTATAGGTTGTATAGATTACTTCTAGGTTTCTAATTCTTGAATTTTTGCTATACTGTCAGTGAGTAATTTACGTGAACTTGATTTACTGGTGGCAATTCGATCCAGAAGATAGGGACTAGCACAGAAAATTGATTTATGTTTAAATGTAAATAAACTTACGGTAATAATTTGCCTCTTTCCATCATTATATTATTTTCCAAAAGGAAACTTTCATGTTTTACTGTTCTCTATTCACCTATAAAGATGAGCAACAGTGAACCAAAAGACAGCCTACACTCCACTCTCTTGAGCTGGAGTTTCTCTGTGATTCAGAGCCCTTTTGTCCAAGGTATACACCCTTGCTTCAGCCAATCACATGGTCTCTGTTTCTTATGGCATGGGGTGAAGCATATCAGGCAATTTACGCAAATGTTTCTAGATTTGTCATGAGGTTTTGAAAATGAAGCAAAATTATATTATTGTTAGGTAATTGGTTTTAAATTTTGTCCTTCAGTGTTTGCTTGTATTTATGAAATCATATTGTATTGATTCTAGGGTACAGGAGATACTGACTGTCATTTTAAAATTAAGAAGAACTTGGAAAATGCATCTATAAGCCTGGAATCTACAAAGAGCCCAGGGTTGTTTGTTGGACTTCAGTCAGATGGACAGGCAAAACCAGTTATTTATACCAAGAATGGGAATGTTTTCTTCTATCCACAAGTCATCAAATGTACGTTTACTTTGAAATTCTTTGTTGTTTTGCTTTGTGATGATTTATGTACAGTGATAATTTCATCATAGTTTTTCTCAGGAAATGTCTGCTATTAGGCTTTTTAAAGTTGTTTTTCAAGAAGCTGTAAAAAAAACATAATGAAGACCAGTTACCTCAGATTCTGATATTTAATGATATGTATGAAGTTTTTGCTACATCAAGCTCCTTTATAGTTTTTTTAAATTGGGTGTGTGCATTTGCGTGTGTGTCTATGTGAGTGCATGCTTGTATTTTATATTTAAGGATAGTTGCATATACACTGAGAAGGGATGGAGCTGTTTAAAACATGCTCAGCTTCATTGCTATTAATTTTTAATAATAACAGTAAAAAAGGAGATAGAAAAAGATCAACACAAAAGGTATTTGAATTAGAGCTAGGATTTGGATAAAAAGTTTAAGGACACAACAGAAAACTAGTTTTCGGATCTAAGTTCAGGGCCTCTAGTAAAGTGAAGTAAGAATCTGAAGTCTTTATTTAAACAGTTTAAACTTAGAACATGTTTGCTTCAACACCATGGTTAATGAGGTAACTCTGTTGTGCCTTTAAATTATTTCAAAATAGAGTTTGCAGTTTAATTTTTTCCTGATAGAATCCCACAGATTTTGGCTTAATCAAAATCTGGAAGATTTTCTTAGTCAGTCTGACTCTTATTTAATTTCTCTTTCTTATCAAAGTCTACCTATTCTTTATATGTATATATTTATAAAAAATATTTAGGGTGTTTTATATTTAGGGTATATATAGGGTATTCTGTATATAGGAGTGTGCAAAAGTAGGTTTACAGTTGTGAGTATGTGAAACACAGAGTTCATTCTTATATTATTATTTACTAATTGTTGTCATTATTTATTTGTATTATGACTTTAAACCTACTTTTATCCACTCCTGTTTAAATATTGCATATTTATTTATATAAAGTATTGTACAGAAGATATTTTATTTTATTTTTTTAATTAATTTTTTCAAATACATTTGTCGCTGCCTACCCCTCACCACTTTCCCGTGTCCCCTCCCTACTTTCCTCCCTCAGCTGTTCCCCTTTGGTTTTCTCCCTGAGTCCTTGCTATATGTTCCTTCACTTTCCCCTTCGCTTCCTTTTCCCTGCCCCCGGCCTCCTTCCTTCTTGTCTCTGTTGATTTCTTTTCCTTTCAGTGTTGCTGGTCTTATTTCCCTTGTACCTTTGTATTGTTGGTTAGGTTCCACTTATAGATGAGATCATATGGTATTTGTCTTTCGCCCCCTGGCTTATTTCGCTTAGCATCATGCTCTCCAGTTCCATCCATGCTGTCGTGAAGTTTAGTAGTTCTTTTTTTCTCTCTGCTGCATAGTATTCCATTGTGTATATGTACCATCATTTTTTGATCCAGTCTTCAACTGATGGGCATTTAGGTTGCTTCCAACACTTGGCTATTGTAAATTGTGCTGCTATGAACATTGGGGTGCATAGGTTCTTTTGTATTGGCGTTTTGGTGTTCTTAGGGTACAGTCCCAGCAGGGGAATCACTGGATCAAAAGGCAGTTCCATTTTCAGCTTTTTGAGGAAATTCCACACTGCTTTCCACAGTGCCTGCACCAGTCTGCATTCCCACCAACAGTAAACTAGGGTTCCCTTTTCTCCACAGCCTCGCCAACACCTGTTGTTTGTTGATCTGTTGATGATGGCCATTCTGACCGGTGTGAGGTGGAACCTCATGGTGGTTTTGATCTGCATTTCTCTGATGGCTAGTGATGCTGAGCATCCTTTCAAATGCCTCTGGGCCCTCTGTATCTCCTCCTTGGAAAAGCGTCTGCGCAGGTCCTTTGCCCATTTTTTGATTGCATCGTTTGTCTTCTTGGAGTGGATTTGAGTGAGTTCTTTATATATCTTGGAGATCAAACCTCTATCTGATGTATCATTAGGGAATATATTTTCCTGTATGGTTGGCTCCCTTTTCATTTTGCTGATGTTTTCTTTTGCTGTGCAGAAGCTTCTTATTTGGATGAGGTCCCACTTGTTTATTCTTTCCTTTATGTCCCTTGCTTTAGGAGACATATCAGTGAAAAAATTGCTGTGGGGGATATCTGAGAGTTTCCTGCCAATATTCTCCTCGAGGACTTTGATGGTGTTGCGACTTACATTTAAGTCTTTTATCCATCTTGAGTTTATTTTTGTGTATGGTGTCAGCTGATGATCCAATTTCAATTGTTTGCATGTAGCCATCCAGCTCTCCCAACACCATTTGTTGAAGAGGCTATTATTGCTCCATTTTATGCTTCTGCCCCCTTTGTCAAATATTAGATGCCCAGAGAGACCTGGGCTTATGTCTGAGCTTTCTATTCTGTTCCACTGGTCTATGGGTCTGTTCTTGTGCCAGTACCATATTGTTTTGAGTGTAGTGGCTTTGTAGTAGAGTTTGATGTCCGATATTGTGATCCCTCCTACCTTGTTTTTTTTTTTTCTGAAAATTGCTGCAGCTATTCGAGGTTATTTATGGTTCCATATAAATTTTTGAAATGTCTGTTCTATTTCTGTGAAATATGTCATTGGTATCTTAATAGGGATTGCATTGAATCTATAAATTGCTTTGGGCAGTATGGACATTTTGATGATATTAATTCTTCCAATCCATGAGCACGGTATATGCTTCCATTTATTTGTGTCTTCCTTAATTTCTTTCATCAATGTTGTATAGTTTTCTGCGTACACGTCTTTTGTCCCTTTGCTTAAATTTATGCCTAGGTACTTTATTTTTCTTCTTGCTATATCAAATGGTATTTTTTTCTGATTTCTTACTCTTCTATTGCATTGCTGGTGTACAAAAATGCCTTTGATTTCTGAATGTTGACTTTGTCTCGTGCTGTTTTGCCAAATTCACTTATTAGGTTGAGGAGTTTTTTGGTAGAGTCTACAGGGTTTCTATGTACACTATCATGTCATCTGCAAACAATGATAGCTTTACTTCCTCCTTTCCTATTTGGATGCCTTTTATCTCTTTCTCTTGTCTGACTGTTGTGGCTAGAACTTCCAATACGATGTTGAAAAGAAGCGGTGAGAGCGGACATCCTTGTCGTCTTCCCGATCTTAGTGGGAAAACTTTCAGTTTTTGCCCGTTGAGTATCATATTGGCTGTAGGTTTTTCATATATGGCCTTTATTACGTTGAGGAATGCCCCATTTATTCCCATTTTGGTGAGTGTTTTGATCATAAATGGGTGCTGTACCTTGTCGAATGCTTTTTCTGCATCTATCGAGATGATCATGTGGTTTTTGTCTTTCCTTTTATTTATGTGATGTATCACCTTTACTGATTTGCGTATATTGAACCATCCCTGCATCCCTGGGATGAATCCCATTTGATCGTGGTGGATAATCTTTTGAATGTATTGCTGGATGCGGTTTGCCAATATTTTGTTGAGGATTTTAGCATCTATGTTCATCAGCAAAATTGGCCTGTAGTTTTCTTACTTTGTAGGGTTTTCATCTGGTTTTGGGATCAGGGTGATGCTGGCCTCATTGAAAGAGTCTGGGAGTGTTCCCTCCTCTTGGATTTTTTGGAATAGTTTCAGAAGGACAGGGGTTAGCTCTTCCTTAAATGTTTTGTAAAATTCTCCTGAGAAACCTTCTGGCCCTGGGCTTTTGTGTGCCGGGAGTTTCTTGATTACTGCTTCAATTTCCCCAGCTGTTATCAGTCTGTTCAAGCTTTCTGTTTCTTCCTCCTTCAGTGTTGGAAGATTATACGTTTCTAAAAATTTGTCCATTTCATCAAGATTTTCAAATTTCTTGGCATATAATTGTCCATAGTAGTTTCTGACGATCATTTGTATTTCTGTGGTATCAGTTGTTATTTTTCCTGTTTCATTTCTGATGTTATTAATTTGGGTCCTCTCCCTTCTATTCTTGATGAGTCTGCTTAAAAGCTTGTCAATTTTATTTATCTTTTCAGAGAACCAGCTTCTGGATTGGTTGATCCTTTCAATTGTTCTTTTCATCTCTATGTCATTCAGTTCTGCTCTAATCTTGACAACTCCTTCCTTCTCCTTGCTCTGGGGTTTATTTGTTGTTGTTTCTCCAGTTCTTGAAGTTGTAGTGTCAGGTCTTTGATTTGAAATGTTTCTATCTTTTTTGAGGTAAGCCTGTATTGCTATGAACTTCCCTCTCAGGACTGCTTTTGCTGTGTTCCATAGGTTTTGGACTGTCGTCTGTTCATTTTCATTTCTTTCCAGAAATTTTTTGATTTCTTCTCTTATCTCATTATTGACCCATTCATTGTTTAATAGTCTCCTGTTCAGTCTCCATGAGTTTGCAAGTTTTCAAAGTTTCTCTTTGAGGTTGATTTCCAGTTTCAAGCCCTTGTGGTCCGAGAAAAAGTTTGGTATTATTTCAGTTTTCTTGAATTTTTTGAGATTTGCTTTGTGTCCTATCATGTGGTCTATCTTTGAAAAACTGCCATGAACATTTGAAAAGAATGTGTATTTTTCTTCTTTGGGATTAAGGTTCTATATATATCAGTTAAGTCTATTTGATTCAGTGCATCATTCAGCTCCACAATAGCCTTATTGATGTTTTGTTTGGAAGATCTGTCCACTTTTTACAGTGGGGTGTTGAAATTCCCTACTATCAGTGCGTTGCTGTCTTTATCTTTTTTGAAGTCATCCAATAATTTCCTTATATACTTGGGGGCTCCTCTATTTGGAGCATATAAATTTACAATGTTGATGTATTCTTGATAGAGTATTCCTTTAAGTATTATAAAGTGCCCCTCTGGGTCTCTCTTTATGGCCTTTGTTTTGAAATCTACTTTGTCTGATACAAGTATGGCAACCCTGGCCTTTTTCTCTTGCCCATTTGCTTAGAATATTTTTTCCATACCTTTCCTTTCAATCTGTGTAGGTCTTTTGCTCTGAGGTGGGTCTCTTGTAGGCAGAATATGTGTGGGTCATGTTTTCTTATCCATTCAGCTACCCTGGGTCTTTTGATT